AGTCTAGTTGATTAGGGATGCACATAGGCACATAACTATGCAAACGGTTGCGCGCTTGCAAGGCCCGGTTCCGGGTTACGACTGGAACACCGTCGGTCGCATAGCGACCGACACATCGATCTGCTGCACAATTCACCCATGCGGGTTCCGCCAGGTGAATCCAGCAAGTGGGGCTTCAGCTGTGATTGCTGCAGATGTCATTTCGAGGTGCATCCTTGCGGTCTCACACCTCCATATCCTTGAGCTTTGGGGCATTGTCGGGGGTGGGCGATACTTCCCATCAAATACAGCTTCAGCAAAGAAGCGGGCAGCTCAGAGTAGAAGATAGTTCGCGGTAAGTGTCATCCTGAGTCATCCTGTGCCAACTTCGATGAGGCTTCGACCCTGCCAAGCACGTCCGGGGGCACGGGCAGCCTCTGGTCCGAAGTACCTCCTCCCTCTCCTACGTCCATTAGTTCCAGACAGTGCACGGACTCCGTTACAGTGCTTCGTTGTGGATCCTTCGAACGGGGGCGGCGAGTCACGAACCGCTGCCGCGCGTCGAGCGCTGCGATCCGATCTTCCAAGGCCAGCAGGTCTCGCGGCTGAGGCCGCTCTGGGTTTGTGGGGGCCCTCGGGTCGAGCACCGGGACCGAGATTCGGATCAGCTACCCTACGAGCGATGGCCTCCATACAAACCGATGGCCAAGAGAGGCCGAGAGGCCTAGAGGCCTAGAGAAGGGAAAGTATGGGTCTGTGCTTTCCTCGCCGGTAGTATGTTGTTTTTTGTCATTCGTCATTGCTGTAGAGTGGGTTTGGCTGTGTTAATATCTTTTAAATTGATGTTGCGTGGTCATGGACCCCACAACAAAACGAGTGGGTGCTTGGGAGGGCTCACCATTTAAGACACATCCCAATGGACTTCCGGGGACGGCTTGAATCTCTTCTGCTGGGCCAACTGCCAGCGACTGCCTAAGGTTTGAGGCTGAGCTGCGCTATGACATGTCAGGGATGCCGAGCAGCCGAGCGGTCGGTGTTTACTGGAGAGGCTCTTTGAACCTGGACCAGTGGTGGGTTTGCTGCCCGAATGGGTGGAGAGCTCGAGCTGGCCGCGTGTGCGTGTTGCAGCGAGGCCAGATAGGACATGATAGGACCATACGCAGCCAAGATGGCTCGAAAAAGTGGTTTGCTTGGAAGACACGTCAGAGACTAGCCACTCGTCCAAATCCAGGAGCCATACTTAGTACAATGGTTGTTTGCAAGCGAGTGCGACTTCTTCTTGATATGCCAAATGCCCAACTGCCCAGCGTGCATGCAGTGAATCCGCTTTCGGGGATGAGCACGGGACCTGAAGATTCAGAGCACACGGGACCTGTATTTGTTTGAGTGCTTAGTATCACCACCCCAAGGGTGCATCCGGTGCTCCTATCACACATTGAACGTCATCGCAGAAACGTCCAGCCGCACCTCGCCATGCGGCGCGCAGCCGCTCTCTGGACGACTGTGGGGTCCTTGCTGCTGGCGTCCCTGGGCCAGGACCGAGGGCCTTCCGACCCCAGCGGTCGCCAGGGCGACCGCCGGGGCGACCGCCGTGCTGACCGGTGCCGTTCGTTGGACCTCGGTGGAACCGGTGGAACCGCATGGAGCCCTTGCTTCACGGCCGATGTTGTTTCTTCTTTTCATCCAATCCCGGGCGAGGCTTGGACCGAGAGTCACCAAGCCTCGAACACTTCGAAGAGTCTATAAAACCACACTCTTCCTCCATGAGCACAAAGTAAAGAGCTAGTTAGAGTTGGTCGAGAAAAAAACACAAAAAAAACAAACCTAAACCCATGTGCCCTCTCCGTTTCCGAACGTCGCATGTCAAGCACCGGGCACCGGCAGGTTTTGGTTCCCCAGTTGCCGACGAAGGGAGGCTTCAAGCTGTCACAGCTGGGGGTTGGCACCTGGCAGCCTTTTGGATCCACGCAGGGTGGAGGGGGTGGTTTCCAGGCAGGAAAGAGGTGAACCTCGGTGTGGCCGGAACACTGAGCGGGTGGGCTTTCAAGATGGAATGTGATGATCGCATTTGTAGGGGTCGATGGCGGGTTTCTGTGAACGATTGCGTGTTGTAAAGCTGAGACGAGGCTCACCCTGTTGGAAATTTCACACCTGCATGTCAGAAACCTTGCAGATCCTTTGGGCACATGAGATGACTTGGGTATGCCTGCGCGTGTTTTTCTTCTTCTTTTTTGCCACAGGGAGGCCACACCTCAGTGATTGGAGCGCCCAGGTGGGGCAACAAGCTCTTGTGGGGCTATGACACCAAACAGGCCTGGCCGGGCCTGGCGACCGTGTGGAGTCAGGTTTGTTGATGGACTCTCACGTCTGAATGAAGGACTCGATTTCATGGCCTGAGAGCTCCTAAGGGAAGGCTTCATGTGGATTCCTCTTGTTTCATTGTGACATCGACATCATGGCCTCATGTCAAAAGAACATAAGCACTGAAAGGAATCACAGGGGAATTCAGGTACTGGAAGCCAGTTTAGAGGAACTCCAAGACCTCAAAGTCAAATGACAAGGTTGAGTGGTTATAGATTATAGTGATCCGCAAAAGGGCAGATTCGTGGTGTGCTCTTATCTGAGGCCTCGTTGCAATACACCCTTTGGGCGAATTGATTCTCATTTGCTAGAGAAATGGCTAGCAAACTTCCATCTTCACCACCTTGGACTTTGAAGAAATTGGCTCAAAACGTCCAAGGTTTGTCGGTTTGTCGCCTGCTCCAGGTCCCTACTTCTGCACCCACCTGCCCTGACACCAGCGGTTTCGACCGGTAACACATGGGACAATCAAAAGGACATCAATGTGAGACATTTGATTTCAGAAACACTTGGAAATGGAAGAAAGAGAGACAGAAACCAGGATGAGACCCTCAAGGAGGTCTTTGAGACCTTCACCTCCTCTGGTGCCTCCTGGTTCGACACCGGCGACAGCTATGGCACCGGAGAGCTGGAAGGAGCGGCTTCTGGCGTGGACGTCAACGCAGGTCAAGGCAGTACACCTTAAGAGTCACTGAAGGTCGCACTGCAGCAGTGCTGCAAGCTTCCAAAAGCATTGTAAATAGAGTATAATAAAGCAGGATCTCCCAAGATTCCCGCGAGAACATTGATCATTGAACCTCCTCACTGGCTTGAACCTCCCGCCTACGGTGCCTACCCGGAAGGACGTGCGGAAGAACTCTTGGGCCGCTTCGCCAAAGATGCGGAGCAGGAGAGGTTCGAGTGGGCTACGCTCGCATCCCAGCCGATGGCATGTCTGACAACTTACAGGTCTGACATGAAGATGCAAGATCATCACCCCGACTGACTTTCCTTTGGCAAGGAATCCGAGTTGTGAGCTCGGATGTGCGAGGAGTGTGGCCCATCCCAAATTTGGGTTTCATCTCCCCCAATGTGTGATACACGGTCTCTATCGGAATCCGGAAGTTGGGTTCCTTTTTCACGGGCGACCATTCTTGGATCCGCTGATCAGCCAATAGGGTTGCAACGCGGCTTGTTGCAGCGCCTGTCGAGTTCGGCCTGCTTGTCGTGGTTGATGGGAGAACACTTGCCAGGAGGGCAGGCCACGAGTAGTCTTGGCGACCAAGCCACTTGGCTTAAAGAGATCCTCCACCAAGCAGACGAAAAGACGGTCAAAGTCAAATCCAGACTAATGACCTACACAAAATTATATATAATATATATATATATACACACCTGGAACCCGTTTGACCTTTGTTTTGATAGGACAAGACCAAAAAGGGGTTACTCAGGTATCTTTCTATATGTAAGTAAGCATCTATAAGCCCTTTAGACCTCCCGCTCCTGGGTCCAATGCGCTCGCGCGGAAGGTTGGCCGCTTACCCCTGGCGTTTGACACCGGAGTCCATGGTCTCAGCTGTCCGAGGCGCGGCCGCCAAGCCTCCTCAACGAAGCGGGACACATCGAAACTGAATGTCACCGACTTTTTGTGGGAGAAGTGGGAAGTCGGAGAAGTCCTCAGTTGTCCCATCCTCTGGAACATGGGCTAGTTGATGAAGTCCAACAATTCCTCACAACTACAGATTCCCCACAGACTCTGGCCACCAAGTCTTCCTGTGACCATCGAGGGCCAACCCCCCGGCCCGAGGCAGCCTGAAACGCATGGGTCGGGTGGACATTGCGCAGATGCACTGGAGCCCTCGGAGCTACGGCTTTGGCTTCCAGGCCGGCCGATTCGGATCGGGATTCGGATCGGCGGTTGGGGCCTCTTGGTGAATGGTCAGATCTGGATCGGCGGTGCAAGGGGCTGTTCGACCTCGCGTGTGGTCGAAAGCAAGGGGCTTGTGGATCGGCCCCACTCAGGCATCGCGCCTTTTGCAAGGTCAACATGTGTGACACATGCAGGTTTTGGAGCGTTTCCTCAAATGGAGCTTCCAACGTTGATTCCCATCGTGATTTGTTCTCATCACCTTTGATTGAAGTCGAGCAACACTTTTGCCAGGTGTTTCACTGGCGAACCTTTTGCAAGATTGCTGTACTGCCAGCTGCGCATGCATTTCATCGCATTTCATCAGCTGCGGACTCACTGAGCGGTTGAATTTGTGAGTGCTAATGACATTGGATGGCAAGCATTTTTTCATGGATTTCACTGTTTTGCCCTCTGGGCTTGCGAGGCAGCTTGCGTGTCATACTCATGCATTGCATGTTTCACCGAATAACACCACAAATCAGCCACCACGTCATTATCCCACACCCTCCCACCCCACCCCCCGACTCCCAACCCACCCGCCAACCACCTCCTGACAACTCGTTTCTGCATCTAGCATCAATCCAATGCCCTCCAAGATACGTGTCTCTTCTCCGGCTCTTCGATGGCAATGAATCCCGATGATAATATTGTGAAGCCGATGACGATGTAAAGCCGGTCGTGAAAGGGATGAATAGATTCCGAAGCGCAACAAGTGAACATCACAAGCACCAAGAGCCCAACATGTGGGCATTTCATGGCATTTCCATCACGAGCGTCCAAAAACAAAGACCGTCCCACGGTACCGCCCTGGATGTGGGGCGGTACCCTTGATGTTGTCATTGCTTTCGTGGCATTTCTGCAGGGAATGCCCTTGGACCCATACTATTTACCATAAACGTGCATTGCTTGGGCCAGGTGATTGGAGGCTCCGCCCCTCGTTTGGATCCTCTTTCGCGATGTCCGTTGTTCTGAGTTGGGTGGATTCACATCATCCTGGCTGTGCACAGCCATCTGGCACCAGTTCTCTACCCCTCAAACAACCCCCCCACACCTCTCACTTTGGCCAGTCGGACCCCTTCTCCTTCTGAAGAGACCAGAACGATCGGTTTTTGCTTTCGGTTCCGGCTCCACCGGAACCGCACGGGACACGGAACCGGTCGGAGCAGGAGGATGCCCTGCTGGATGGCCTTTGCAAGTGTTATGATTTGGGGCTTTGTCGTGGCGTGGGGGCTGTCCAACTTCGGGCCCCAGAGCCTTGCCAAAACGGACGGGATGGGGGTCCATGCGAAACCATGGGTGGACCCTCGCGATCGGATGAACACGTGGTGAAAAAATGGCCCACTTCCTTTGGTTGTACCAAGGGAGGCTTCGGGTCATACATATAGTTATCTATATATATATATTATATATCATGTATGTATGTGTGTATGTATGTATAGGGAGATCCAGGTTGATTCAGTTCCATGCGCTTTCGAGCACAAGACGTATTTTGTCCAAGATGGGCTTCAAGGGCTCCCAACTTCTTCCAGACCATGAGCACTTTGAGATTAAGATGGCAGGGCATGGAAATGGAGGTGCCGCTGGTACGGCCTTGCAGGAACCCTGCATTTCCAAGCTCAATGATCCTGAGATTTGATGATCAAATTGCAGAGAGAGGAAGAACACCAAGCTTAGGCTTAGGTTTTTCGCAGCCATCACCGCAACAGTCAGTGAATCAAGAATCTCACTCTTGTAGGCATATCAATGCCCCTGGTTCACTATCATCCACTGTTACAGTGATGAGGATCATCTCAACACCAAGCTAATCTGCACGTGCAGCACACGCCTTCACCGTTCTGATTTACTGACTTGCTCTCCTTTTCTTTGGCTCAAGCTGCTCAAGCTGTAACCCACTCCATGTTCTGCCTCTTCATATGTATTTATATATATAGTATATAGTATTATATCATGCTTTTGTGGAGTCTCGTGAGTGCTTGGGGTGCCCTTGGGGCTCCGTCACAGTCTGGATGGCCCGTGACCGACCAACGGCCAGGACTGCGGCCAGCTTTTCCAAACGCACATGGGGCGACACAAGCAGATGGCAACAACATGCCTACTTGGTGGGTAGCAGCCACAAAGCTGGGACCAACATGTTGCACAGCATCATGCGGCGGGCTTTTGATATCCTAGGCGGCATGGACTTTGCAACTATGACGGCGGAGGTGGCACACTGACTGAACTGTCGCCCAAGCATCAGGATTGTCATTCGCATCCTGCAAGGATTCGTTACACCCATCATTCCTCACAGGTGACGACGTTCAAGGGCTGCGCGGTTTGACGGCCGGAGCAAGTGGCTTTCGTGGAGTGATGATGATCCGAGATCCTTTGGACATGATTATCTCCTCTTATGTCTATCACCATCGGGGTGCAGAGGCAACCACAGTGTTGGGTGTAAACATTACAGACATGAACCCAGAGCGGGGGATTCCAGAGATGGCGAATCGCATGCTCGAGGTGATCAGCACCATGGTTGATTCCTACAAGGTCAGCAATCCGGACATGATGGCTGTTCTTCGAGACGATCACTAGTAGCTCAACGAGCTTCAATCGCACGGTGCAGGAGCTTTGGAGCAGAAACATATTGAAGTGCCGGGACGTTTCTGTGTAATTAGCAATGTTGTGAATTTGTTTGGCAGTGGCAGGGCTGGACCTGATAAATGCTTGGTGTGAATTTGAGGTAGGATCTCATTCTGTTGAGCCAGGTTGTCACACTATGTTGTGTCTGCCGCCGTTTGGCTCCTAGGGCCCTTGAGCTATACCGTGCTCGCTTTCGCAGTGAAAAGAGCGTGTGGACAGTACGATTCCGGTTGCTACCGACATTGGTAGCGGAGCAGGTGACGGCCTGACTCCGGCACGTACTGATCCAGGTCATTGGAATCGTAGAACATCAAGCCTGAGCTTGCATCCCTTGCGTGCTTTCGCTTGCCTCCTCTGATCCCGTTGGGGACAGAGCCCGGAATAGATTGCTCGCCCGAGCAATCTCCGTCGGAATCGTCGAACATGTCCATTGCTGGACTCAAGTTCCATTCGGGTAGCACTGGTGATAGAATAGGCAACCCCCTGGAAACCAAGAGTGGGTCTTACATCTATTGGGGAGATCCTGCATCATTTCATGATTGGAAATTCCGAACCGAACTCCGCATCAAGCTGCACGACCAAGCCCAAACGCAACCAGCAAAGAAGCAGGATCCCGTGACTGGACCTGCCGACGAAGGGGAGCCTTGGCCACCAGAGTCAGACGAAGGATTCGCATTCCCTTCGCCTGGACACTATCCCGAGGAGTTTGAGCCCGAGCCGCGTGAGACTGCCGGTACTCCCAAGTCGAAGGTTGATGCAACATCACCGAAGGCTTCGTCCGTTAAGTCAGACAAGTCGAGTATCATCGATCGCAGTGTCCTAGTGAACAAGATCGTAGAAGGTTTGAGAGGTGATGCCTTTTTGCTTGCCAGAGACTTAGGTCTAGAGACACTTGCACGTCCAGGGGGACTGGAGCGTCTCATCGAGGTGATACGTAACCATGTGTTTCCTCGAGCCTTGGAGGAGAGAGTAAGGAGCTTTTTCGCGCAGGACAGAAGCATGGAGGACCACTGTCGAGACAGCCTACAGAGAGTATGTTGTCGTACACTCAACGTCGACGACGTTGGTGGACCTTGTTGGTTGAGCTTGATCCCACAATGATGATCTCAGAAGCTTTCCGCACAGAGCTATTGCTGGAGATGTCAGGTATTTCCAGGCAGGAGATCCTCGTGGTGAAGGCTTGTCGCAAGAACGATGACTTCGAAGGTACTGCACGAGTCTTGGTTGACAACTACAGTGGAATCCATCTTCGTGAAGGGTCCCGATCCTGGACAGGACGGGGAATTCAGCCTCAGGTAGGCAAAGGCAAAGGGTACCAGAAGGGGTACCAAGGTAAAGGCAAAGGTAGCCAATACCCTCGTGCTGGTTACAATGCCGTCTATCCCGATTGGGAAGACAATTTCGATTGGAGAGATGAGGACTTGCAGGAGCATCATCATGAAGAAGATTCTTTCGTAGGCATGCTCGGAGGGATTGAAGAGTCTGAAGAACATGAACATGCTAGCCACCCTGAATACGAAGATTTTGAGTATCATGATGATGTTGATGAATATGAAGCAATTGCCTTGAATGCAGTAGTTGATTGCGAAGATGCCGAAGAACGTTCCTCAGGTGATGCTATCCAATTGCAGCTTGCCGCATTCGTCGCTTTCGGGAAGGCAAAAGGCAAAGGCAAGGATAAATTCAAGGGGAAAGGTAAAGGCAAAGGTAAGATAGTGAAGTCTCACCTTAGCATCGAGCAACGTCGACAGAAACTGTCCGAGATCAAGGCGAAATCCAAGTGTCTTCGTTGTGGCGGTTTAGGTCACTGGGCCGGAGACCCCCAATGTAAGATGCCCAATGCCCCGAAGACTGGATCAGCCCCGAAACCTGCTGCACACATTGCCCACATGAGTGATTCATCCGAGGACGAAGGGATTTTTCTAGGTGCGGCGTCTCCAACCGACAGCGTTGCTCACATGGCCGTGAAGGCCAGCTCAGGAGTTCGTCCGGAGGCACCAGTGAGTCCCAACGACCTCGTAAGGCCTGAAGGGAGCGATAGGAAGTTCTTAGCTGGACAGTTCAGGGGGAAGACGTTTTGGCAGATCCTTCATGAACATCCTGACTACCACCAATGGGCCATCAAGAATGGCAAGAGTCCAATCGCTTCGGCTTTCGTCACGTGGGTTGATCAGCATTTTGAATATAGGGGAGCTTCAGTTTTCAGGAAGGTTGGTGGTGCTTCTTCTTCATCGTCATTGCAGCCTATCCCAAAAGGGTCCTCAAGGAAGAAACCACCATATCCACCAAAGGAGAAATGCAAGAATTGTTCCGAGTTCACCAAACAAGGGAGCACAGCATACACCATCAAGAAGACATGCCTTGTCTGTGGGAACTCCACCACCGAGCGTAGAGAGCAAGCCCCGAAGTTTGCATATGACGATTGCCGCACTCGGACACCGATTTTCGAGGTTCTTCCAGGTCTGTTCACCGTGTGTTTTGCAAGCTTTGTTGTTCGTTTTTGGATGAGACTCCGATGGAGCTCCAAAAGACTAGGAAGGCAGCCTCTGAGAAAGTCGTCAACGCACCGCTCGATAGGATCCCAATGATTGAACGTTTGGTTGAAGAGGAACCCGAAGAAGGACACACCCCCGAGATGCTAGAGAAGATTTTGACTGAATTTGCCGCCCAAGTCGCGTTGGCAGCCGAAACCGAGGCCGTGACTTCGATCAAGCTGCACGAGCTCCTCCACCTGTCCATCGAAGAGAGCAAAGGAGACTCGTTCACCATGATTGATTACACCGAAGATCCAGACCCCTTTGCAGGGATCGGCATTTGTTTTCATGGGGAGGAACCTACCCAGATGACAGATGGTTTGGTGCACATATTTCACGAAGCCAGGGACATGTACAGCCCAGACGACGGGAACATCTACGTCGTTCTCGACGAGGGATGTAATTCCACCTGCCATTCAAAGCACTGGGGAGACGTCGTGGAAGCCAAGCTGAAGAAGCTGGGGTATGATTTCCCTTTCTCAACCACAACGTCGAAGAACTTTGCCGGATTAGGTGAAAAAGGGACCACTACAGAAGGATCCCGCACATTACCCTTTTCGTTGCACTTCGACGAGGGAGATCCAGTGCATGGTGTTCTTGAATCCCACCAGCTGTCGAAAGGTCGATCTCCGCTGCTTTTGTCTCTTCATGCTCAGGCACACTTGGGACTAGTAAAGGACCTCAAGAATGGTATCATTAGCATCAATGGAAAACGCCTCAAAGTGTTCAGATGCATACACACCGGTTTGATGATGTTGGCAATTACCCCTCAACAATTGGTCCAAAGTCTCGAAGCCACCATGCCCCAAAAGATTCCAAAGTGTCATCGCAAATTTCGTGTCGCCCTCACAGCCTTCGATACTCCGATGGAGAGATTGGATACGGCAGAGCGAGGGTACCAAGCCCAGACTGCCGAAGGTATCCATCGTGCGCTTGGCAGCATCATTGGCAATTTGAAGAGCCGTGAGTTTTTGCTGGTCACAGGAGGTGACCGGTTTGAAGACAGGTTGTCAGAGCATGTTGGCAGTGGTATCCCCGTGAAGTACATCAACGCCAAGTCGCTGTGGGATCCCGACCAAGATCCTTCGTTGCGTGGACAC